CTGGGCATCAGTAAGGGAACAATTCTTGACCAAGCAAGGGAATTTTTAAACAGAAAGGAAGAGTGGTTATACTTTTATGGCAAGCGGAGATAGCTGTTATCTAGTCACATTAATCCCATTCGAAGAATTTGAACAAACAATACCGCAAACATGCATCCTCTTCTCTCCTTTAGATGGGCCTTGCGATCCTCGCATGTACTTTCCATCCACCTCTTTGAATTATTGTGTTAAACATAGCTTATTTGTATATAGAATGACTGGTGTAGTGTTTGCATGGGGGGATTCTATGGGCCGACGCCACTCACCACGCTTACAGGTGGATGCAGTTCGAACTGCCATCCGGTGCTGCTCCGACTAGACATTGAAAGCTTCGAGATGAAGGTACAAGGAAAAAAGGCAAGGCTTCTTAGTTGCAAATCCCATAAAAATTGTTTAAGCCTGTTCCTACATATTCAGGAAAGGCTTGGGCCGCTGCATTGGTGGCACCGGAAAGCGAACCCGATCTTAAAGGACAAGTACCCTGAGTTCTGTTGTTGAATGTTAAACATTAGCGAGTGAGAGAAGAGCATATTGTTGCGGACGGGAGGATTAGTGATGACTCTTAACACTAGGGCTGAAAATGACACCAACTCAACTGGCAAACTGTCAACACCTTCAGCGAGCTCTACAAGCCGGGAACCATCTGAAAGAGGTCTCAAGCCAAATCTTTATACGAATGCAATGTTGAAAATATGAAAGAGCCAAGGCAATAGGTAAGAAATTGTCTCTTCCAAAGTCCATCTTATCGCCCGCCTACCTGACTCACCGCCCTTGGCAGGCGACATATGACCTGCGTCTGTCGTAAACAATTAATAACAAGCAAAAGAAGTTTGTGGGATTCCCAAAGCTGTTTGTTACTTGCTTGACTGTATGATGCCCATTCAGTTGCTGTATTTACTTTACGTACACCTTTACCGCGTTTCCTCTCCAACGCGTTAGGAACCCCATAAACAGACTGGTCCAAGGTGTAGCGCTGCGACACTTCCCTGAGGACGAAAATGGACATAATACTTGGGCAGAATTTACATTGTCGGAGCACAGAAGAGCTACTGGCATGGCACGAAGGCCATGCTGCCTGGTGGAAGAACTGAAGCGGGGCTTTAAGTGACCTTGAGACCAAAACAAATTCTTACAAAAATCAAAGATTTTTTCTAACAATTTTAAATTCCCACTGACTGATTTGATGGTGGAAAACCACATACTGGAGGAATTGTTGCCCATTTAGGACCTCCAGAGCTTTGCTATGCTTGGGTTGCTTGAATTTGCACGCTTTAGGGACTTACCGTCCACTACAACTACCGCCGCGTTGCACTTGCTTTCTTTGGTAAAACGTGTTATTTTGAGAAACCAAGTGAAAAACTAGGACTGCCTTTAAGAGTTTTGTAGAACTCCATGCTGAATGTCAACTCGAATAATATTATATTAATTCAAGTGCTGTGTTCTTGGTCAAATATCAACGGCAGATCATCAACTAGTCCTGTTACCTCCAATTTACGAACAAAAGGGGTTCAAGAAGTTATTAATGTTGGTGCTTTCCCACAGGTGTAAACATTTACATAAAATGAAATTACATTATACGGACCAAGGCTTGTGCAGACGATGCCGCTATCATTGTCATGCTTACCACTGAAGCTGTTGTAGTACTGCTGTCATTTCCTTCAGTTATTTAATCATCATGCCGAACCAAATTTAATTTGATGCTGCTCCCCAAAACCTTTTTGATTTGCTACACCTTATTGGGTCAAAAGTCGCATAATTCGACAAATCTTGTGATTAGGTCAACAATATCTTTCTTTAAAGAATTTTAGTACAACTAGAAAATGACTCTGTGGCAATTTATCAGTAACTCTTTGTTCATCTTATGGCGCAGGAGAGGAGAAATTGAAGGAACCAAATATTCGTTAATTACTTTTTGACCGAGGATAATGTTGAGCATCTAGGACGACAAACACACAATTATTAGTATATTAGCATTCAAATTAAAGCGCTTGAAATCTCTCAACTAAAAGACACTCCCTTCTTACGTTGTTTAGAGATCAAACTCTATCATTCTCTTCCACTGACTAGTTTTGGGAAGGCTCAAAACAAAAGGTGCTGATTCTCGTCACTACTCCATATCTACTATGCAAAAATGGAAAAAAAGTTAAAAATTCGATACTTTAAACGAATCAGCAGCCACAGCTTACAACATTTTAGGCATCTACGTCGTTTTCATCTATTCGATCCCGATTACAGAATACAAAGGTGGATTACGTTGGTCCATAAATCAGTTAATACTTTTTTCTTTAAGTAAACGAATTTTTAAAGAAAACTAAAAATTTGGTTTAAATCCACCCATTCATATACTGTTTTAACCAAACCCAACTTATGGTAGTTTTAACAATTTACCTAATGTGTGTGACGTAGTCTTTGCACTTAAATCAACAGCATTTAAATACATTTTATTGATTTAAATATGAATTAACGCACTTTTTGACTTGTAAGCTTGTTCATTCTTATAGGTTACTTGTTTCAGTGTGCTCTTTCACGTCTGCCCGATTTTACTTGCGCCCGAGATGGATTCGTCGCCAGAGATGGATAGGTTTGGTGTTTCAGAGCAGGATTATGAGTATATGTTTGATCCTCTCAAGCGCCGTGGTTTCACTTCCAAGAAGCAGCAGATATATGGTGTTTTCGCCTCGGATTCTGACTCCGAAACCGAAGAAAGTGGCATGAGCTCCATGGCCTCCATACGCAAGCGTAAGGGTTCAAACTATTCTGGACCCATCACTTTTGTCAGTGGTGGAATTAAGGTATCTTATCATTAATGTATTCCTTTGGGACATTTGACTCGGGCAAAAGTCCTAACTGGGGCATACCCATTCATCAAAGCTGTCTCATTATCCATGCCATACCGCTAAGAATTTCGTGTTGCTGCAGACTTTCGTTTAGTTACTTAAGTAGAAACATACGTAGACTGCAGTTGATGCACTCTTTTTACTCTAGGAAGGTTCCAAAACTTTGGAATCGGTGGTGAACGAAGAAGACCTGGATGTTGGAATCTCAGATGAGGAAGAGGACAAGCGCTTATTTTCTGTGGACACCCATGCGAAGGAAAATTCATCAAAGCAGCATGTTTTTGCCAAGCCTGCGTCATTTCGGTCGCGTAAACTCACGTCTTCATCTACCACTCAGGGTTTTGGGTCATGGGAACGACACACCAAAGGCATTGGGATGAAGTTGTTGCAGAAGATGGGTTTCAAAGCTGGTGAGGGCCTTGGTAAAGCTGGGCAGGGCATTGTTACCCCAGTGGAGGCAGTCAAGCGTGCTGGAAAAGGTGCAGTCGGTTCAATGGGACCCGAGGCTGCTGCTGCTCCTCGCAGAGGGAATGAACCAGTTCCGTTGCCTCAGGAGCGCCAGAGTGATAATTGTAAGCAGCAATGAGTCTCCTCGCTTTTTATGTGCACGGCTCAATTTGTCTGCAGTGTTTTTGCTTTAGCGGGTCTCCCCAGGTACAAGAAAAAGTCAGGTGTAAACGGCGACTCTGGCTCAGAAAAGCGCTCTCACAAAGCCATTTATATGTCGGCCGACGAACTTATTGCTAGTGTTAGCCCGGCTACACCTGCTGCAGCAATCAAATCGCATGGTCCTTTTATCCAGAACAGGTAAGTTTCATATGGAAACTATCCATATTGGTTTTGTTTTTTCTATCCCCTTTCTTTCGTTGTAGTGAGTTGAGCAAAGTGAAGGTGATTGATATGACTCAGAGGGAGCAGCGTGTGTATGAAGGCTATGAGGCTGCTCTGTCCAGCTCCTCGCGCTACGGTCGACGTGTCGATGAGGCCGATGATGATGTTGTGGATGCAGAATCACGTAAGCGCGAGCGACGCATTGAGGGTCACTTCTTCGAGGTTCCTGTGCTCTGCCACAATATTGACCTCGTCATCAAGACCACTGAGGATGAGATCAGGCGTCTGGATCGTGGTGCCCGCTATGAGGAGGACAGGACTACTGGACTACAACATGAAATTGATCGTCTGAGTCGGGTCTGGCTTTGCTTTCCGTTTTTGTTTTTAACTCCCAAATCATCCGAATTCTATGCGCTAATTCTCAATGGGCGTGGTCTTCATTTTTAACGTCAGTCCTTCTCTGTCGCATTAGCAACTAGTTGGAAAACCTTAAACCATAAAGTTGCTTAAGGGTATAGAAGGGCTGCGAGTCTAGTCACTCAGTAATAATGGCAGAACTTAACACCGCTCGCTTGGTGATATAGTAGGGCATTCACCCATGTAGTTAAAACAAATATCGTTCTGATATTAGTGTTTTTTGGACTCTAGACAAACTTAAAGGGATTCGACAAACCAAGGGAACTTTAATATTTTCGGAGCTTAATACACGGCTATTTGCTTACAGTGAGGTTTTATGGTTTTATTTAGCTCCATGCTTGTCATTGTGATCTTTCAGACGCGGCCTTTCCTCATTTCCTTATTTACATGCATCATTTACGATAGCGAAACTGTACCCTTATTGTTTCACTAGCTAAAGTATTATTTTCTATGCTTTAAAGCTTGGAATTTTTAAAAATATTTATTAGAGTAACTTATGGCAAAATTGCTCTTGTTCCTTACTGTGCCGTCTGATCTGGTATTTGTTTATCTCCTATGAGCTGTTGCTTCTAACTTTCCCAATCCATGGGTATGTTTGTTGCTGGAATAACTCGGATTTTATCTGCTTTAATAGGTAGTGGAAAAGGCAGCTTTCGATGTAGATGAGCTGGCAGCAGCCCTAGATCTCATTAGTCAATTCGAGTCCGCTCTGAAAAGAGGTGATACCGGATCGAGCCCCGAGGCATGTTCCTCCTGGCTCACACGAATTCGGCGGGAGTGCGCTGATCTCTTTGAACTGCCTGCTCTCCTTGCTGCCGTGGCGCGGCCTCTTTTGGACAGCATGCTGATCAGTTGGAAACCTCTCGTTGTGAGTTTTCAGATGTGTTTTTGCCTCTTCTAAACTTAAAAATCTATATAAGCCTACTAGATATGGCTTGTATTATTGTCGTTGAGTCTATTTGAAGCACGCAGCGGTGAGATGCGTGGTCTTCAATGGTATTTAAATACATTTTTCTGACCATTGCCTAAAATTCATCTTGTTTCACAAGTGTTAAGTGTAGTACTAAGGTTTCAACTCTGGTCTTAGACACACCAACATAGTTATTTGATGTTCAGGTGTTTTTGCATTCAAATGCGCTTTTACTATAACTATCCAACCAATTATCATTAAATTTGGGCTGTTGGATTAGCAAAATGCAGCTCTATTTTCAAGGCTGCGAAGTTTATGAAGTTTCAGCAAGAAATCATGCTTTTCTCTTCCCTTAACTCCGACCACCTAGCCATAATGATTCAATATTAATGTAGGCAAAGTCGTTGCATTTTCATTACACAATCCTTGGACCAGATCCGAGGTCCCCTTGATCTCACAATCCCATATTTACTGTATGAATATCTGTATGTGAGTCAGCAAACTGTGATCGAACAACCAGAACCGGAGGTAACTCTCGCGAATCCTATGCTTCCTCTCTTTTCGCAGTCGGAACCTGTTGATACTTTTCACCTCATACTGCTTTGTTGCCCCAGCAACTCGAAGCGTCACCTAGTTCAGATTCCTTAGCGTCTAACGCCTCGGTTTTCCCCCATTATGAGTTTGTATGTGTATTTTCTTTGTGTCTACTAGGAACGGGAGTTATAATAGAAATTGACCTCTAAACTAAACCCTGCTTATACAAGTTTCTGATCAGGCGTTCCTTCAACAATGGCAATTTGAAGCTGTTAATTGAGATGTGGGTAACATATCGGTGATAGGGTAGATTATACACAGTTCGAATGTTTTATTGTTTGGAGAAATTTACGATTCAATCTGAAGTTATTTTACGTACACTTGTGTTTGTTATATGATCGTGTACATGTGTATGCGAACCCGATGTAACTTCAACTGTGATCACTGGCCTTGATGTGCCTTTTCTCTACTCATTTTCACCCAGGCTTCTCCATTGTGAATAGCCCGTTTTGCTGCCAGAGCCCGAACAGTTGCCTAGTCCTTGGATTTTGATTTTAACACTTGTTACGTCCTTCTCATCCAAACTTCAAATATGTGTCTCCCTTTCCTTCTCTCCACCAGAATCCAAGCTATGGCGTCTCTGCGTTGATGGAGTGGCGCAGCGCCTTGGACGATGCGGGCGCCTTTGAGATCCTCTTGCGGACGAGTTGGTTACCGTCGGCGCGACGCTGCGTCACCATGGAGTGGGACCCGCATGACTGCGAACGCCTACTCGCTGTCTTCGAGGCCTGGCAATCCCTCCTGCCCGAGGACCTTCTTCAACACGACCTCCTTGATGGACTAGTGCTGCCCCGTCTTCGGGTACGCCTCACACATCCCGTGTGAAGTTTGCGACGGCTTATGGTCTAATTGTCAATTGATCACTGGCTGTGATAACGTTAAGCTTCCTTCTCTTTCTAACCTTCAGACGGCAGTGGAGGCGTGGAACCCACTGACAGACACGGTGCCCATCCACACGTGGCTGCACCCCTGGCTGCCATGGTTCGGTGGGGCCTCTCGCCTCGCCACTGTGCATGAGGTGGTGTTGCACAAACTAGCCCTTTGCCTCACCAACTGGCATCCCTCTGACGCCTCCGCCAGCTCAGTTCTCCTGCCCTGGCGAAATGTCATCCCTATGACCCAAATGACCATCTTCTTAAGTCGCAATGTCGTGCCCAAGTTGGCTCTGGTCATGCAAACCTTCCAGGCAGGTTTTCTCCCTTTTTTCCCCTCTCTACTAGTTGTCCCTCAATTGTTTGCTCTCCAGAACCCATTTAGCTGTGTTTGCTTGGTTACTTGATCCCTTTGTCCGTGTTCCTTGTGCATTTAGCGCGTGTAAGCATAAACCTACTCAACAGTATGAGATCTTATCTATTTCTTTATCTTTATACAGACTCCCCAGACAAATCCGCCTTTTTCCACCTTCTTACTGGTGCGTTGCTACCTCTAAGATATTATGAATAGGGATATCAATTGATGGTAGTGCTGGAAGGGTAACGGTGGTTTGTTCGTACCAACACCAGATTTTTGAGCTGTTTCACTTCGTGGATACTTGATTATTCAACTCCTTTGTTGGTGGTGTTTAATGTGTATTAAGTCGTTATTTGTTGCATCCTAGTGTAATCCTAGGAGGTGTTCTGTGCCATGCACGTGGCAGCAGTTCTATTCTACTGCACACTGACCGTTTGAGGTTATTTGCATAAGTGGTATGAAGATTACCAAGCGGGTTCTTTTTTCTCCTTGCCTAGCCTATACCATGGGCTCTTTAACTCACCCTCCACTGAATGCTGAGATGTTGTTTGTGCACCTCTTGGATGGTCCGCCGAATCCCTGCAACAGTGTGTTCGTTCGGCTGTTACATTCCTTTCTCGATTTTTCTCTTGGGCATTAAAATCTTCAAGCTTTCGTTATACAAGCTAGTCAAGAAATCTGAAGTCAATTCAGCTGCTGAGTAGTGGCTGGTTTACAGTCTAGTACCTACTAAGCTGTGCGCCCGTTTGTCTATTTAACCCCTTTGTCTGCGTATGCTGGTGTAAAAAAGATCAAGAACTCGCTTTTCTGGTAAAAAGTCTTGTTTCCTTGGTCTCCCGTCCTTGCTAGACTTACCAGAACACCTCCTTAATGAAGATTAATTGTAGTCTGTTAATAGTAGTGCAGGATGAGATCCAGTAATGACTTGGTTGAAGGAACAGAAATGGCCCCCCATGTGAAGGTGTAGAATTTCGCTCCGTAACCGTATCCTTCTCGTGCAAAAAAGCCGTTGTATCCTATTTTAATCTGAGATTTATTTGTCCTCCTGGAGCCAATCAAAGAGCAGATTCCAAAACAGAATTTCTAGGGCTTTCGTAACACATACGCAAATATGGTCCGTTTTGTGCTAGGGCAGTAAGCAAAGGTAATTTTACCCGCTCAAGTTATGCAGAGACGTCGACTCCTGAACCTGATACTTAAAGGGGTGGGAACTTTTAGCTGTTGCGTCTTTCGTCACCAGATAAATCCTGCGGACCAGAATATGGAGCCCTGGAACTGGGTGATGCGTTGGCTGGAAATTGTCGACCCAGCAGTAATAGCCGACCTCCTCGAGCGCTTCTTCCTGCCACGCTGGCTCCATTGTCTCTCCGAGTGGCTCACCCAAGCTGTGGATTCGCGCAATCGTCACGCTCCCTCCACCGGCCAGATTTTTAGCGAAATCGGCGCCTGGTACTCGGGTTGGAAGGGTCAAATCCCCCCCGAGTTGATGGATTATCCAAGTATCAAGGACGCGCTCACGAAGGCCCTCAACTTCATGGAATGTGCGATGCGTGGAATAACTCCGGTTAGTGTCTTTCATGTTCTTTACTACGGGTTTATGTGGCCGCCCTGAACACGCTCATTGTATTGCCATTTCAGGAGGCCTTGTCGTACGGAAGAGCACCGAATTCCCAGCTGGCCTCGGGGCCTCCCAACAGTGGTACTGCACGTCGTCCACCGTTCGTGCCTCTACCACAACTTCCACCGACGAATTTGAGGGAACAGGTGGAACAGACGGCAGCTCAGAGAGGCTTCCTCTTCCTTCCCATTGCAAATCGCTTCCACGAGGGCAAACAAGTGTACCGTCTAGAGGCACAGCAGGTCTTTTTCGACCGCAATGTCGCCTTCTGCTTCAATTCGTATGATTCCGGTTGGCATCCCGTCTCCTTCAATGAACTCATGGCGATGGCTGAGTAGAACTGGTTACGCTTGCCCACCTATGTACAGTCCTCCTGAATTGTAAAATTTATACACTATGTTTTATTGCTTTTTTGCCATTCCAAACCTATACTTACCGCCGTTGCTCAATTGTCAGTCACCTGTTCACTTAGTTAACATTACAGATTTAACAGCTACAAAACAGTTTAAGCATCAAACACCAAAATTGCCTTAATTCCTTTTGCATTGACTACTGATCATAGTTAGTAGTAGTGTGAGGATTAATCCTGACTCGTACAGATGACCGGCCATGTATCCCGAGGTTCATCAGTCCACTGGGTCCAACGAGATGTTATTTTCGCCCGCGATTTTGCTGCTCCTTATCACATTTGGGCCTTACTGGAGACTAAACAGTACCGATCAGCAGATGAATTAGGGGTCATGTATATCCCCATTGCGACTATCGGTCTGTTACAGCAACTTGACTAGTAATGCATTGATAGAATAAGCTACATTGAACGCGACGCTAGGACGTTGCCGTTGGATGTAAACACGCCGGCTTTACCTTTATGGCCCATTATTTGCAACTAGACACGACCGAGAACACGGATGTCAAGTAAAGAAAAGCTAATAATTAGGAAAGTGACTAACAGATGTAGAAGTTCACTGCTTCTCACTCGCTTCCTTTAGAGGGAGGATGCAAGATCACCTTGGTTGAGATTGTGTGCCAGCGAGATAGAAGGGTCGGGTGAGAGTGTGCGACTGCTGGGTGATCTGCTTAAATTCGCGCTCCTGCGACTCCTCCACCAGACGGCGATTAACTTCGGTCAGTAGGTCGAGCACATGAAGGGAGCTAGCGTACTTGCGAAACACATCGACGAGAATTTGGATGAACCAGCTTCCAGCCTTCTCCGAGCGCCAGGACACAAAGCCTGGTAGGGTGGAGTAGGCGATTATATAGTCACTCATGTAAGGCAGACACTTCCACAATGTCTTATGTACCCCAGCGTCCACGCTTTCCAACGGGGATGCAACAAAACTTGCATTATCTGGCTCGTATATATATCCCCGATCCTTCTCCTCCCCTCTACAAGCTTGAAAAAGAATAAACTTGGGTTTGCCAGCTAGGGCTGGGAAGGATTTGTTCGTGAAGGCTTCGAGGATATCATTAATGGCAAAGAGTTTTCCATCAGCAGTGTAGATATAGTCCTGCACTCCGTGGGACATTACAATGAGACCACCAGTGTCAACGTTATAGTGACTGGGGCTTTTTATAAAGGCGCTGAGATTAGACTCCAAGGCAGTGGCGGTGGGATCTAGAAGTACTTCGACGTAGTATCCGAGGTCGGTAAAGAGGGATTTTAAGGCGGCAACATCTTCTGATGAACCAACTCGGTTGCTGAGACCTGAGCCCACTTCGAAGTTTGAAATGTTTACTAGGAGGATGTGGCCGCGGGGAGTAGAGTTGACGGGGTATGCAGCAAGCGACTGCGTGGGCTGCTCCGAAACATGAGTTTCCACCTTGGCTGAAGGTAAAACTGAAGGTACTGGTGGAGGGTTTGTGTTTAAATTAGCCATTTTTTCGGCGAGAGACGACTGATTAGTTTCGGAAAGGGCGGATACGAAAGTATCATAGGCATCGGGACCACAGCGGACTAAAACATTGAGGAGGGTTCGAACTTGATCAGCGATTATGGGACCAGAGGAGAGGATTTTCTCTGCCTGAGTCCGCGAAAGAATTTCATGGCAAAGGAGGTAATCGGTAATCTCCTCGATGTCACGCAGTCCCTTCACGAAATCAACCTGCATCCGACTCAGACGTTGCCGTTGTTCACTATTCATTCCTGGAGTCAAAAAATAGCACCTGCCCATACATTATGTTTAATTAGCACCACAAAGTAGCGAATTCGAACAAGAGCATATACACTGTGGTCATGCAAGAAGTATATTAGTAAAAAAACCATTGTTAACTAATAATTCATTGGCAGATAACCATCTAGAACTATTTCATTCATTTGCTTCTCACAAGGCCGGATTACAAAGTCACTCAAATATTGTAAGTTGAGGGAATTAGAAAGCAAAATCAATAATGAGTTATAGTTTTAAAAAATGGAACGCAATTATGTTACTCGGGAAGACTAGGAATATACTAAAAATTAGGCCAAACCGGTACTAAATAAGTCAGAGGATCTGGCCTACTTCTACTACCACCTTGTGGAAGAGCAACACATTGTTTCTGCGACAACTGTCCACTAGAAATAGCTTCGTGAGACCTTCAAGACCATTACAAGCACTTAGAATGCGCACCAAGGTCCCTCGTCTAATTGTACGTAGGTACATTCAAATCACATTAAAAGTAATACTTCCAGAAGTGAGGATATGTTGCTCAATTTCAAGTGATTTATGTGTAACAGCTCAAAGTATTTGTTTAGCTGTGGCTGCAACTTCATCGCTCACAGCCAAATCATATTCCATAGTTGGATAGATATATGTTGAAAAAAAGGAGCAGCATTACAATGCTAAATATACATGGCAGCATATGTGTCACATAACGCATATTACAGAATTTCATGCATATTTCATGGGGAATATATAATTTGGCTCACAACTGTAGTTAGCAAAAATGGTTGCAAAAACATATTGTACTATTCTGGCTACGACCAAGAATAAAAATAATTTTGGTAAGGTTGCTGGATGCAGTGCTTCGAGACTTCCCTGAAGGCGAAAGAAGGCACAATACTTGGGCAGAATATATATACTCAGCACAGAAAAGGTGTCTGGGCTACTGGCAAGGCCCGAAGGCCAGCCCACCCAGCAAGAAGCAAAAAGGGTATTTCAAAGTAAAAAAGTGGTCCATCACCAATACCGAGAGACAAACCACCATTGTATTACACATATGTTCAACACAGAGAAGGTATATGCGCTGCTGGCATGGTTTAAGGCGTGCTCATCTAGCTAAGTAGAATCTCTAAAACAAAGTAGACTCTTGCCAAAATCGGCTGTTAAACGAACATCCAGCGCATTACACATCTACTCTTCTCTTTTGCGCGTTGTCCCAAGTGCTCCTTTTGCTCAAACTCCCGCATCAGTCATCACAACAAAGTCGATGCTGTAAAGAAACACCGGCGAGCCGGCTGTGCCTGTCACCAAACTTTCATGCATCTGAGGTGATACTTGACCTCAACGTCACTTATTTTTCCTAAAAATCCAGCCGCATCTGACGTTTTGTTCCGTTTGGGAACTGGATTCAGAGACAGAGGATTGTGCTAGCATTCATGTATGTCCACAGGCAGGTGTAAGTGCACTGGCTTGAGGCGGACTTAGGTAAAGGAGGCTGAGGTATAACACAGGTCTGTAGAGAAAGGGTTGTGCTTCTGCTCCTCCTAGCCACGTTGTTCTTACTTCGCAGCTATCCCGTCATACCCATTCGGGCTCTATCCAGTTAGTAAGGAAGTAGAGGAGGTATCGCACGTTCATTTTATCGATAATTTTGTGTAGACACTGTAGAGAAATTCCCAGATGGTTCACGTCCAGTGTCACTTCAGTTGTTACCAGCTTTCCTGCTGAAAAAGGGACTGGGGTGGTTGCCTGTGGTAAACGCCAATTTCAGTCCTTCTGCTTGGAGTCATTGCTGATTCGTCCATCCGTCGCATACGTACTTCTTCTGCTCCGTTGAGATCTATCACCTAGCGGTAGGAATCAGGATAGATGTCCTTTAAGATCGGATTCGCTCTCCGATGCCATCAGTATGGCTCCCCAGGACTTTTCTAAAATAAAAAAAGAAGTAATACTGGGGTAGAATATATATATTTGACATAAAGAAGGTATGTGGGCTGCTGGCATGGCCCAAAGGCCATGAACTGGAATTAGTTGCTCCAACTGCATCGCAGCAATGGCTGTAATACCGCTATTGTTAGACTTTTGGTTTTGGTAGAGTCCCATTTCTAAATTGGTTGTTGCACCAAACCAGATGCAGCACAAACTTCTATAACAATCATTTTTTTAATTTTCCATCGTATCTGTTTTGCTTCTTGTGCTGATTTTGATGCAAGACAAACCCTAACAAGTAGGTTAGAATTTTAGGGGTGTTTAGAGAAATTTTTCTGGAAAAGTGTCAGTAAGTAATTGAATCAGAATTATCCTTATTCGTTGCCTTAAGAGCACTAAACAGGCGAAGTCGCCACCCCGCCCGCCTAGCGGGCTCTCGCCATTTTACGTGTTCAATTTCGTCCTTTTGTTGGTTACTGATAATGCATTCATCGATAGTTCCTCCAGGAAAAACTCTCCCAAGGGTAGGCTGCGTTTGTTTTTCTTACGACAGGCCGATGCACGTATTCCTAAGCCTCCGAAGCCCCCAGAGAAACCCCTAATGCCGTATATGCGGTACAGTAGGAAGGTAATGAACGTTCGCGATCCTGAGTCTGTAGGTGTGGGAAAAAGTGAAAAATGAAAACCCTCAGCTGAAATTATGGGAGGTTGGCCGCATTATTGGGCAGATGTGGCGCGAGTTACCTGATGAGGAAAAAAATATTTACATTGAAGAATACGAAGCTGAGAAGCAACGCTACAACGATACTCTTCGACAATATCACAGTTCTCCTGCCTACCAAGCGTGGGTTGTCGCTAAGGAACGAGGTATATTGCGTACTCATGTTTCTCAATCATGTGCTTCTGTTCCTTCAACTTTATTTTTGTAGCCGAAAAGGTAATTGAGGAGGAAGAGCGACGGAGTGCTGCGCGAGCTCGTGAAAAGCATGAACCACCGGTTGATTTACGGGAGTCTTATATTCTGGAAGACAATGAAGAAGATCCAGATGAACAGTTCACTGTGAAACACGTGGCGGCGGCTCGTTTCCAACGCAACCATCGTCTCATGCACGAAATTCTTAATGACACAAAGCTACCCGATCCTGGCCAGCTAATCACTGAGACTCGTATACAAACTCTGCAGATGCAGGTCAAACAGTTGAAGAGTCACAAAAAGAATCTGTGCAGTGAAATCGAGAACTGTGAGTTACGACACCAAGCTAAGATGCACCGCATTCAGGACGAATCAGCTGCGTTTTACACCGAGTATCGTAAATTGATGGCTCAAACTCCTCGGATCTCAGAGTCCCAGTTCACTGACATGATTGTCAAGGCAAAACAGGATCTGGATCGTGAGGAAGAGAAGAAGCGTGAGCGCCAGGCTGCAGAAAATGAAGCTCGTAAACAGCGTGCTCTGAAAAGAGAGGCCGAGATGGCAGAAGCTGAGAGGCGTCGTCAAGCGCAGCTTCTCCAGCAGCAGCAACAACAAGTACAGACTGCTTCCCAGGTTCCCCACGCGCCTAATGTATGGTTTGACTGGCTCGCTTCTGTTGTGCCTGTTTTTTATTCTAGCACTTGTATATTGTTTCCTCTAGCAGGGACCTTCGATGGAAGATCCTGGCTACGCACAAGCGCAGCAGCAGGCCCAGTACAATCGGAAACCTTACCCTTGTCCTCCCCCACCGGCATCACAAGCGTATCCACCCCCACCTCACTATGCTCCCCCATCAACACAGCCACCACCATCCATGGAGGGAGTGATGGAGGCAGAGAGAAATAACAATGCACTCGTTGAAGAGTCTATCAAGAAAGATGTTCCCGCTTCCGAACCGGGCGCAGAAGTGGATGATCCCAACTCCAAAATGGCACAGGATCAACAACAGTCGATGGTCCAAAGTTCATCAACTGTGATGGGTGGTGGTAGCTCACAGCCACCTCCGAATTACACGGTGCCACCGAATCAACAAGCTCCGCAACCCCCACTACCTGAATATCAATACCACCAACAGCAGCAACAGCCACAACAGCAGTCGATTCCACAACCGCCTCCAATCCAGGGTCGTTATCCTCCGAATTACTATCCTCAAAGTGGGAGACCTCCTTACTCGAGTTACCCCACTCCGCAGCCTCAACCAGCACCTCCACCGCCGCCACCGAGTTATCCAGCTTCTCAACCACAGCAGATGTACCCGTCGTGGCAAGGGCAGTACCAGCAACAATCGGGGTACCCAGGCGGGGGTATGGTGCCACCGCAAAGGTATCCCCCGCCACCACACGGCTACCAGCGCCCGCCTTACTCGGAGGTTCAGGCTCCTCCTGTACCTCCGCCCTACCAGCAACAACAGCAAGCGCCGGTAATGCACCATCCTCATCAGCAGGGCTATTGGCAGCAGCAGCAGCCTCCGCCACCACAACAATCCGACATGTCCCAGCAGCCACCGCCCTCTGGACACTACCCGGTCTCATCAGCCTCTGCTGACCCGCAAATGGGAATGATTCCTCAGAATCAGCCACCACTACCTTCGCAACAGGTCGCGGCTCCATCCGCTGGGTACTATCAGGGTAAGTAGTTTAGAATATTTGGTGATACTGTAACTGTACTAGGTGGTCTGATGCGCGAAATTCGTGCTAAGCTTAAAGACTGAACCTTTCAGTGCTCGAGGACTATCTGTACTGTTTTCCCAAACTTGATAGAATTCCAATCGTGAGTCAATTACACGGGTTAGATGAACCAATACTGTTAACTTGCAGCTACAAGTCTATTATGCTACTTCAGGTTTTGTCTATCCGCACCACTTGAATTAATCCCAAGTTGTTGTAAATTGGCTACCCCAAGTTCTGCTGAAAGATTAACTCGGACATACTCCTATTTTTAGGCTATGGCGGAGCTCCACCGCCGGCCTATGGGGTTCCGTCCTCCCAAAGCGGGGTCTACTTCAACGGCCCCCCACCACAACAGCAGCAACCGATGCCACCGGGTGGTGGTTATGGGCATCAGCCCTACATGCAGCCACAACAGCAACATTGGCCCCAACAATATCCACCGGCAGGTTATCCATCTTCACAGCCACCACAGAGACCCTCGATGGCTCCACAGTCCACTCCTCTTTCTCAACCTCAGTCCACCCCGCAGGCACCACATCCACAACAACCGCCACCACAGCAACAACAGCAACATTCAATGGGTGCACCTGCCACTTCGGGGGGTGCTGGTGGCGGTGGTGTGGCATCGCCAGGGGATCAGTCGGCCATGCGAAGGCCCTCGCCTAACCCTCGGCACCCTGCCGCTACCCCAACTCCACCGGCTCCTGGTCAGTAATTAACACCAATCCCTCCTGCATTTGTACTTAAACTTTGTCTGTCGGTCTGTCCACGTGTTCGTCGCTTTTATGTACCTCATTTAATGAATCTGTGGCTGCTCCATTCTTCTGGGTCCCAATACTTTCAAGATCAGGTTCCAAAATTTGCTGGTGGGGTTTTTGGGCGTACTATTGTTGCTCCCATGTTCTCAAAAGGTTAACCAATTTAATGTTAGGTTTTCCTTTGGGTGTTTTAAAGGTGAAATAACTGACTGAGTTTTGCCTGTCCGGTTCGTGTCCGGCTTATAGACACCTGTATCGGGTACAGCGATCACTACGTCGAATCTATCTAGTTGTGAAATCCATTCAAAACTGAGGGGGAGAGCAGAGTCTGCCTCCAAATGTCCACCCGCAGTATCATCGACGCAAAACGTTTTACGCCATGCCTCAATAGGAAATTGTACTCCATCCATAAATTGCTCTATCCCCGTCTGAAGTAAGTCGAGAAGACTTCACTTTTTTTCATTCCGATCTTAAATGTGTGCACTTTTAACTCTCATCCCTTCCTGTGTACTTGCATATACAAGATCAGTTCTTTGAAGAGGGAGTGGGTTGGGATGAGTGTCCGGGCCTACAAAGTAAGGTGACACTTAGATTGCCGTCTGTTGCAGTCATCGCTTTACGTTTAGATATGAATGCAACGTTTCGTCAAGACAGTAACTCGGATAGTTAAAATGATTACGATTGTCTTTTCACTACTCCAAAGAAATCAAAAAAAAAATGCAAAAAACGCGGCTCATAAGGTTAGTTATCAGTAGCAGGTTCGGAGGGCAGCTTTAGATACCAACAGTGACAATCACAATTGGGCGCCGGACAGACCACCTTTGTACTATTGTCACGCTGCCGCATGCACCACGCTGACATGTGCTCCATGTGGCCGCCGTGGTGACAGAGGGGGCAGGCCACAATCACACCACGCGCTGTGATGTTGCAAACTGCGCAGCGCATCAGGCTACCACCCGCACTAGCGGTCGCGGTCTTAGCAGCCGGAGTGGCAGTGAATTCCGCGAGACCCGTAGGGCCAACCATCTCTGTCTGGACAGATGGAAGGCTGAGCAGGTGAGTTAGCGCGGGCGGCATGTGTTCGGATCGCCACTCACCGGGGGAGAGAAGAACTTGGCTCTGACGGTCGAGGGGTTTGGCCAATCCGAGGTGATAGAAATCGGGGCGCGAGCGAGCATGAAGCCATGTCAAAACTTTGTGCCACTGGGCGGAGAAGTTGGCGCGGGGCATTATGAGATCCCACGCAGATAGGAGGCTGATGTAGACGTTGAGGAAGTGCGTGTACTGAAGCACGTGTTTGAATGACAGCAGCCTTGAGACGGAAAGCAGTTACATAGTCAGTATAGCCATCACTGGACAGACCAGCTCCCCAGCCATTGTGCTCACCAAACGTGAGAGGTGTAAGGAGCGTCCTGTTGAGGCTCCTCGCCAGTAACCCCACCAATGTCCATCAGCACTTGTTCCCGAAAGTGCTGCTGAAGGAGAGCGATGTTGGCGATTTCTTCGGAGCTTTGACGACTTCGAAACACCTCGGAACCGGCAATATCGGTTGTAACGGAGACCTTGTAGCATGGAGCAGTACCAGGTGAAGAAGGTTGAGGTGACTCCGAAGGGTCCGTGGTTATGCTCTCGGTCGAAGGTAAAGGATTGACTGAACAACTGCTCGACCGTGTCCTCGCGTACGAAGGGACACTCGTTCCGTTCTCATATGTAGACTGGTCGGTAAGACTTTTATCGGCTAAAAGTAATGATGCAATTAAACATCAGCTGACATTCCTGCTTGGTGAATGGCATGAAGTTATTAAAGTTAGACATACATTTGACAGTTGTTGCCTGGTGTGACGTTCGAGTGGGTGTGGAGTCTCCCGTGGTGGGTTTCAGAGACGCCCTTTTAATGAAGAGAGTAGCGCTTTGTGATTGCTAAAATGAAAAGGAATGGCATATACGAAATGATGGAACAAGTTTGTGAATTTTTGGTATCCCTCGCTGTAACGAATTTTAGTTTATATGGAATTGTAAAGTTCGATTGTCTTCACGCGCCATCGCAGTCCGTTGCTGCACTCTCCACTGCTTTTCTCTCGTCATCAAATGTCAAACTGAGGTTAGTTTGGTTTCAAGCCTGGATAAGCTTCTTGTTACGTTTGTTGCATAGCATTTGGAGAAGGTGTAGTAGCAGGACATACAACCCAGTAAGAAGTGGTGATGAATCACTCAGCCATCACCATATCGCGACGAAGGAGACTTCCTGTTGTCCATAATAATGGGTAATTGAAATCACTCGAAATTAAGACGTCGAGAGATTCCAATGACGGGTGATTAAAAAGCCACTCATTTATGCCTACATCAATTGGAATGGGAAAATCGTGACGGAAGCTGAGCGGATGGGGTCCATCGATACGCCTCAAGGAGGATTGACTTGTTCCCTTCCGTAAGTTGTAAAGTCGCGCGATTTTACAGTTCACTGACTGACCTGCAATGGGAAATGACATCAAGGGAAAGAACATTATCACTGGCGATCCGCCAACGATTCAGCACCCATCACACACCCCCTAAAGTCCCACTTCATCCGCAGGAGACCAGGCTCCCTTTGTGTGTGTGTCATGGACTTCAGACGCAATTTCTCACTAATGAATTTGTTGTAGAAGGCCAAACAACAGCCACGGCTAGGATCTATCTACTCAGCATGAGAAAAAAAACTCGAACGGGCGTAAAACTCAGCCTTCAGAAACAGTTAAGACTAGTCAATCAGGCAGAGGAAAGCCTGATCTCCACAAAACAATGCAGAGCCTTCCAGACCCGTGCGATTAGCGCTTTATAATGAGGGAGAAAGAAAGGTAGTGTTTCATCCTCATTTCTTCTAAGTCATAGTGGTAACCATCACCCTTTCCTGGCTAGGCTTTTACATGGCTTCTAGAAGAAAAACCGTTTTATAAAGTTGCATTGGCAGAAAACTCGTGCCGCGTCAGGCAAAGAACCGCACAAAAGTATGCGGTTTCTACAAATAAAACTTTAGGACTAATGATGATAAAGATTCCTTGCGTCAAGGCGTAGTGTGACTGTTCTCAAGTCAAGCGCTACCCCCATCTACCTTGTCGCTGTCAATTCAACCGATCTAACTGAGACATAAATCAGTGCAACCACGTACCATGAACTAACGCCATCGTTATAACAAAAAAGGGGCTACATACAGAACCCGAAAAGATTCAATTAAGGATAATTGACAGCCAAAGGGTGTAATTTTAATTGGTATAAAAAAGAGTGGCATTTTCCGAGGTGAAAAATGCGCACTATATGAATGCTCTGTAGCCATATTCATATCGCCCACTAATATTCAATCTGAAGAAAGCAATTTGGAGCGTAGACGAAAACGGGTTAATGAGATGAAGAAATACATCTTTTTAATGAAAGTCTCGCCCTAAAGGACTATACAAGGACCTGCTATCTGCCCAAGAAGAAGCATATGTAGGCACTAATTTCTGGCACTCAATGTTGATGAGGGAGACTTTTTTAATTTGTTATGACAAACATTAAATTGGATTAAAATTTCATGTGTAAATCGCACCTCGTCTGCCCTCTCCATAGACGTCAAGGTGAGCGGTTCATGAGCTTCCAGAAGAGCTAAGTTGGGTAGCATTGCAGTCGACTTGGATCTTCGCGATGCCTGTATCCCAGTGGCGGACTGGTGCACCTGTTGAAATGCGCGCCGAAGTGGGCTCTTTTGTTGTTCAAGGGGGCAAGGCCGGAAGTAGGTGAAGGAGGTGCGTTGCGGTTGCTTCAAAGCTACAGCGGCGACTTGCGATGGCGCAGTGAGGAGGAGGGCTGGCGGACTGGACTGCGCGTCGATCGCGGCCATTGCGAAACCCATCATTGTCAAGCTCTGGACGTCCCCGAGGGATAGAAAGTGAGAGAGCCTAGGAGAACCGGAAATTTTACGAGCACCCATCTTAGTACGTCTCTCATCACTGTAGTATGCATTTGACAGCCCGGTTCTCCTACCCAAGTCTGTACGTCACATATACGTGACATGGCGGATTTAAGAAATTAGACTGAGGAGATTAGGTTTAAAAAGTTGGTAATATATTAGACAAATACAAAGTCAAACTGTAAATACTAATTTTCTTCCGGGAGTCTGGTAGTAAACGCGTAAGTGAAACAAGTACCAGCGGCTCGGCTTAGCCCTTCTGTCTATCTTCCCGACAATAATAGGAGGTATCAAACGCGGCAATTGAGTATGAAATTTCATGAGCGTACCAACCTCAAATTGACCTATAATTTGACTTTCACGCTCCAAAAGGTAGAGAAGGAGAGGCTTAACAAATTTGGAATTAACTCACCAAGTATTAAAGAAGGCACGACCAATAGATTGACTGGCGTAGGGCGGAACGATGGGGGGAAAGGGGGGTTGCCTCAACTTCGCGCCAGCCAGAGACGCCACAAAGCTCCAAAACTAGAGAATTAAACAAATTAGCTAGCTACACGCAAAACGGTGGAAAGTTCACTCCCCAACAGATGTAGAGTAGCGATTAGAAACCCGCGGAAAAGGGAATGATTCAGCAGATTCGAGGATGAATTAATTAGCAGTTACAACTAAATAGATATTACTGAATGCATTTAACCTAAAAAGCTTTAATTTTCATCTGCCACAAAAGTAGATGAAACTAATCTTGACTACAGAGAGCTAGGCTAAGGGTAGTATCTAGGATCTGAGAATATCTGCTAGCGTTACACGGACGGGCTGTATTTGAATGAGAATTGAAGTCCGATGAGCCGGAGGCGTGCGTGTATGTGCTCGCGCGGATCCGCGAAGTTCAACTAACCTGAATCAAATCCAACCGGCCAGTTGTTTGAGCGACCTTTAGGTTTTGTAAGCACATGCGCTTCGGATCGGCAATGTCAAGCCTGGATGAATGATAAAGAAGGAAAAGTGAATGGGATGTACGTCAATTTTGAAAAACCTCGGCTAGACCATGCCTAACTCAAAGCATTTTGCATGGGTTGTGGGATCATGTGCTGTGCAAAAAACCGCCTCTGCAGCACTTAACATGGATTATGGAAGCACACTTAGGTGCATTTTGAAGGCTCATAAGAAAACTGGTTCACTTATACGTAGCGCCCCCCTCCCACCTTCGTTTTTCTGAAGTCGAATGAGGTCATAATTTTTGCAACATGCGGAAGGACTGAGGGGCTGCTGGCACGGCCCGTGGGCTATGCCGCTCAGCGGAGATACAATCGTGGGGCCTTCAAGGCCCACGTAACCAAAAAAATGGTTAAACAAACCACTAAATTATTA